ACTAATTATATAATATGTATTTTTACTCTCTGGGTTTTATTGATTTAAGTCGTGATCTTGAATTGTATCACTAATCATCGACAATGATGTTATCTCAATAACCCATTAACAAGTAGTTATTGATTATAGCAATTAATTTATGTTATTATGACATTAGTTTTTTCTGAGCGATATTCGAGCTACCGTCGACCCTCAAACGATGAGACTTGCATTGGTTAGTCCACACCCGAGTATCACTTACGCACGCGCATGTTATTACATCTTTGTTTCGGTGGACAACAAATTCAAAACTAATTAATTAATATTCACATTAATTCATAATAACACAAACCAAACTAGATATACCTCACGTACACCACGCGTTACAATTAAGTATAATATATAATATAATGATTTACAAGGTGCTATTATGTTATTGAGCTGGTAACTAATCGTTTCCCACATATGCGTGCAGCTATAACATATAACAACAACGATAATATTACTTCATAATATACATTTTTCAAAATATGTAGCACTAAAACGCACTCGCGTTCACATTTTTTAAAACTTAAATAAACCATGTCACGATGGGCTGACTCTGACATTGGTTCATCGTCAAAACTTCTTCGATTAATCTAACATATGAAAAGCTAAAAAGCTTTTTGTTTATTAAGACCACTGTAATGTCCACGTTAAAATTCACCCGAAAACCACTTCAGACAATATTATGTACTTATTTAACAAAATTTTAAACGTGAACGAGTATTGGTGAGATATGTCGTACATGTGCACATAAAAATGTAAAATATGTACTTAAACGGGTCAGTTGTTCGTTGTGTGATGTGATGACTGGTGTGCACCATAAAAATTGAGCCATTTTAATTATTTTGTAATTATTAAAAATAAAAACTAGGCCAGGTTAACATTACATTCATTTTGCTTAAATTCAGGTATAGTCTAGACAGAGTATAATTTAACATAAACATTTTGAGTTAAACAAGTTGTTTATTTATAAACATTGTAATATCTAAATGACATTCAATTATCTAATTGATTATCAATTTATGTTATTTTTATGAACATTATATTTAGTAGATAATAACAAATAGTTTGTTAACACTCTCATGCAGTAAACCGGAACGCAAAAATTCCGTACAAAGTATATATTATGCAATAAGTACAGTAACATAAAAAACATATAATGAGATATAATAAAAGTTATAAAACCAGATTTTTGAGAAAACTGTATATATTATAGCCTCTTTCTAGATCCACCTTCGGTTTAATTTTTAGACCTCAAGTCCTAAAACTTCACCTAAAAAAACGTATATGTTTTAAAGATTTTACATAAAACGGTTATTTGTTCAAATATATCAGCCAGTAAAAATGTAATTTACTTTTGATAATTAGGGTAATTTCTTGGTCTATGCACGGAAAGAACTAGCCACCAGCCGCTGCCGTTCGCTTCCGCCACAGCCACCTATGTCTAAATATAGATATTTAACAAAAAAATTATAGTTAACCCAACTAAATATTTAGTTAATCCAACTACTCAAAAACAACTAAACTAGTTTGGTATTTCTAACTAAAATAATGTAGTTGGCGCAACCATATTATAGTAGATCCAACTAGAATATATCCAACCATTTACTATAACCAAATTATTTTTTTTCGTGTGTCAATTTATGTCCTTTATATAATGGTCGACGACTAGTGACCAGAAAGTGATTGTCTGTGCTTACTCTACACTAAAATGTCTTAAAATTTATTCAGTTTGAAAATTTTTCAATATTTGTATTTTAAGTTTATTATATAAAAAGAATAAGACTTATTTGACAAAAAAAAACTTGTTTTTAAATTAAAAATATTAAGTAGCAAAAAGAAAAACATCAAAATAAATAAGTGACTATATTATACTAGCAGAGCACTAGCACAGGACTAGCGTGATTTTACCAATTGGATGAGGTGGAAGTGTTCAGACGTTGTCTTCGAGTTGAACTTCATCACCGTGGTAGTGTACGTTTTGACTTTTGCGCCGCTCAAGGCCATGGCGGAAAAGAAGGAACACCGAACAACATAAGGGATTTCACAAAAAAAAAAGACAGCGAACGCGGTAGCCATCCGGTATTGGTTAGTAACACCGAACCGAACAGACTGCTGTCGAAAAGCCAGTTTTCAATTAGCATTTCATTGGCCTCCAACGGTTCATAATCGGTCAGACCCGACATGACGATTAAGTAATAAAGAAAAGTAATAAAAAAAAATTATATAAACTAGTTAACAATTGAATCAAAGGTTAATATAAGACAAAATGTTGTTTTAGAAAAAAAACTGAGAAAGACACTGAAAATTGTAGTAGGAACACTTCGGGATGTTGACATCAAATGCGAAGAAAATTGTGTTGTTTGCATAGTTTATGAACAAAAACCAAAAAGTTACCCTGACGACCCAATGTAAAAATACAATTTTTTCTGTTCGCTATAGAAAACCTAACAACAGCTGTTTTATTTAATACATTAGTTATGTATTAATTATTATCTACTATGTAATATTTTAAATAAATGTGTATTGGCTAACAACGTTTGAAAGGGATGCCTCAATGGTCTCAAATTTCACACGGGTCTTGGACGATGATTGGATCTTGTAATTAATATATATCTATAGACTACAGCCGTCCGGTTACACGGAAAACATAAATAGTCGGTCTAACTAAAATTATGGCTAATTTAAGGACACAAAAAATTTCTAGTTGGAATAACTAAATAAATAGCTTGTCCAACTAAACATATAGTTGGCCGGACTAAATATATTGTTGCTTTAACTAAACATTTAGTTGGCCTGATTATTAATTTAGTTTGTTCAACTAGAAATGTATTGTGTCCCTATATCAACTATAATTTTAGTTGGACCAACTATACATTTTTTTCTGTGTAAACAGAACATTTGTTAGCCATCTGCATACGATTTTGGATTTATAGAGGTGCTATACGAGTAATTTGGTTCACAGGAACAGAAAAACACATATTGAAAAACCAATATCTTCTTGCTATGACATCGAAAATAAAATAATTATAATTTGTCTTACAATAGCCTTAAACCATAATTTTATCCAACTCTTCGGTCTACAAAGGAGGTATGTTTTATTTTTTTATGGAAACATCTTAAGTCATGTTTACAGGTAGGTATTATACTATACATTAACACCTATTTTAACAATAGTATAAATCAAATAAAAACATTAATTCCACAGATGAATTTGCTATTTAATTGTTATTTAGTTTCGCAACATGTATGCAAAATATGTAATAGTACTACGTTCATAAGCTACAGTATAATCTTATAATTTTATTTCGAGTTTTCTTAACTATACTAACTTTGTAAATTGTATCTATGTACATACAGTATTAGGTACTATCAAATAACAAACGTCGGACGCGACCAACCGTAAGACAAACCTTTAAACGCTCTGTAATACAATTAAACAATATAGTTACTTCATTAGGCTTCATAGCTAGCGGATATCATTTGACTAATAGACGTTCAATAAGAAAACGCAAATTTGTCCCTCGCGTCGCGCCGCTTAGACATAATAATATTATTTCCTGCAATTCGATCTTTGCAGAACAAATTGCTTTCCTAGTCTTAAACTTCGACCTTCGTACTACGTGCATTGGTGCATGTAGTTCGAATTTTGTGTTATTGATGTCTTGAAATTAACGAGGCAGTAGGTTACGATTTATTTGTAATTACTTAATACACGGAAAATATCAAAAACCTATCTATGAAAACATATTGCGTTCTTTTACAGACAGCCACAGATCATTTGTTACTTGTTGGCTGATTAGGTACAGGTAAATTGGCATTCGAAAAAATATATTTGAGCATTAAAAAACAGTATTGATTTGTAAATTAAAGTAGTCTGCGTGTTTTAAACATCAAATATATTCCATAACATCAATATAGTATAACATAATTAATATTAATCATAAAATTATTTTATACATATACACCAATTCTTATACGATATACGCAAAACATATTTTACCCTATAGTTGAAAAATGTTATTCAATTAATAAAAATTATTGTTATAATTCAATTTTTCTGTTTTTCCATAAATATTAAAAGTATTTACTAGTAACTAATACAGTGAATGTGTCAAAGTCTCATAGTAATCCATGTATTTGGAGTTATATTTAGATATAAAAGAAATTATTATTAACTGGAGCTTAAAGAGCATCTTGAAGAGATAAAATTGTTTAAATGAAATTATTTTATAATTAAAAATAACGATTTAATTAAAACTGAAGTTTGAATTATTTTGAGTGTTACGAAATGTGTCGTTGACAATGTTATTTTTTAAAATACGTAAATTGTCGATATTATATTTTATAACCTTTTGATCATTATATCAATCGGTCTATCCTATTTACTCGTAAGAATATGTTCCAAATAACCCTTCTGTTACAGATTAAATGATATTGAACAATATTCATATACTATCAAAATACAAAATACGGTTTGGTTTAATTATTAGAGGATTCTAGGATTAATTTAGAGGTCTAGGCATAGAATTTATACTGCGTGTAATGTGCAATAATGGTATGGAATCAAATCGTTCAAATAAAAAATAGTTATAAAGTAACACGATATGTACAGAGCAATAATAATCACGGAACACATTACACAAATAATATTATTGCAACAGTGAACAAAAATAGGTACAATTAAAATGTTTTATAGAATAAAAAGTGCCGAGACGTTTAAGAATAAAAATCGGTGAAGTCGATCAGGAACCAGTTGCTTCTGGAGACGAGACCTTGACAACGGATATGCGGTGAACACCTCGTTATCACGCTCTTCCGTATAAATGCGGCGGCTGTAGTTTTTCTTCCTATGCGGCGGCGGCGCGACGACAGTGGATCTATACTATGGCTATTGCTCCCACCCCGCCGCCACTGTGTTCCCACCGACGACGGCGACAAATGTGGCCCGACTATATAATCGAAACCGATTCCCGCCGAATCCCTAGTGTCTAGTTACCTAAACTCCAGCTACCCGACGTGCTACACACACGCTATACTGTATTCTACCTAAAAACGATAATAAGTCAAAATCGTGTTAAAAATATCAAATACATTATTTTCGAGTGCCCTTGGTGATCGAGCAAGCCGACATGGTTCAACTACATAGGGTAAGACTGTAATACTATTATTATTATCATCATCATCATCACCACTCACTAACGCTAATAACAAATCCCGCGATCGAGTCCCAAGTGCGGATTAAAGCGCGCGACTAAAACTTGCAATCTGTGAACTTTCAATAATATTGTGAATTCTTACCATCAACATTGTAAAATAATATTATTCTTTAGTGGCCAGTTCTTGTTTTTTTACAATTCAGGACATTCGCTGACGGGAAAATGCGTTTTAGCAATAAGTAACATAACATTTATTAAGTCTTACTTATTCAATTCTATTCTACCATAATCAGTTTCTTGGAGAATTTCAGAAATCGAATAGTTACAAATTAAATTAACAAGGCTACGTTAAAAAAATTAAAATATTCAATCTTCAAATTTACTTTTTAAAAAATTTTAATTATATAAATAAATAACGTATAACTATTACAGTTATAATAACTGTAAAGTTTTAAAATTAATTTCGACTGTATATATGTGTCTTAGATCTACAGAGGCTAGTTTCACATTTTAACGGATTTTTGCAATCGAGCAGTACAGTTTTTAATTTACTATTAAGGGCTAATTTTTTTTAACTTACTCCCTTAAGCTGTATGTCCCTTAGCTGTATGTCTGTATGAACAATACACACAGGTGTGTTTTTTTGACAAGATAAAGTAAATAACAATTAAACAATGTATATAAAAATTATATTTCTTTTAATTTTAGCTTAAAATCTACTTTGGATATTTTTGACATATTAATAGCAGATCTTTGAGTCCACACAAATGAGTGGAGACCAAAGACGATGACTAACTATATAACAGATAATGCATTACCTGTATGCTCGGTATCAAACAAAAATTACATTTAAGGCGTGCAGATTTTTTTGATACTGAAAAATAATAATTTGTTGTCGTTTGACGTAACGCGGTTGACACATATTTTATCAATGACCTTGGAAAACTTATTATGATTATTTATTTTAATATCGACAGTTTCACTTATCGAAAATAAAATTGTTGCTCTAAAGGATTATTTTTACGTCGTCAGCGCCGCTTACAAGATGTGAGGTGCGTATTATTTCGTTTATTAAAATATTTTGTAATTTTAACGCACATTGATTTGCCAACGGCAATGTTGTAGTACTAAAATCACCGCTATACAGTTACGTTACATTATTCATAAAAGTGACAACAATTGCGGTTTTTTCATCACTATGCGCTTTTAACAAAATAATCCGCCTTTTTTAAAGAAAAGAAAAATACTACGGAAACTATTAGTGAGGAAGACACGCAAACGAGGCAGCAAAGTCAATTGACTTTGAAAGTCCAGGAACATCATTTAAAGTTTAATCAATATTGAATGTTCTCATTTAATTATCGAGTATAAAAAAATTAAATCTGCGGTCAAAGTATGAAGAATTCAAGTAATAAAAGGGAGGATAATGACCCCATTAGTATCCCCAATACTAATTCAAACTGACTAACCGCCATCCGGCGAATTAATTCGGTGGGTCCAGTTAGGGTAGGTACATCTAAGCCAACACAAACTTATTGTGTTCAAGGAAATATGTGCATTTAAAAATTAATACTTTTACACCGATTTGTACGTTCTATTGATCGCAAGGAGATTTCTCTTGTATTGGATAAAAATTGATTTACATCGTAATTTATAGGCTATCCGGAATTTATTATGGTAGTAAAGCACGCCACGCTAGAAAAACGAAGTGGTCACGTGCTCGGTGTTAACTTTTGTCTGCATTCTGCAATGATAATTACTGGTGCATTATTAATTTATAATGTTTAATTATATTTATGTTATAATAAATATTAATAGAAAACTCTGTCTGTTCTATCTTCTTAATCCAAAAAATGACAGTACATCACGTAAGCAATCCTACTGGATACGGTTTAATGACTAAAAAATGCAAACTATTCTTAGTATCTTTAATGAATGTAATAATAATTTCCACACACTTGATTTTAATGTTAACATTCTTTAGGTACCGACACTATTATAAAGTAAACTAATTAGTTAATTCGTTCTATTAACTACATTGCGTATTATGACACCATAACAATAAAATGTAACCCGCTATTTTTTGTTTCAAGACAACACAATCAGGGTTGGTACACTTTTGTAAAGTAATCTAAATTCAAGGTTTGGCATTACGCATTATTAAGTTTCAGTCAGGTTAAAACGGGAAGTTAATTTTACTTTTTAAGTTACTGGTTATTTTTTGTTAAATTCAACCTAAACATAATGTTAAATTTACCTAATTTAGAAAAATATATACATTTAATATGAAAAAGGTGACTACAACATAATTTAGAAGACTTCTAAATAACCAGTATTGCTTACTGCAAAACTTAACTTGATGTTCGGTAGTGAATAATAAAATATGTGGTTACCACTTATTCATCTATATTTTTGTAGATGTAACTACTTTTTCCCGTGAAATTGGTCTAAAGTCAAAGACAAAGTTGGCGCATGAAAGATTAAACAAGACTATTAGTTTTCTAGTTAATTAACGTTACTATGAACTTTTATCTAACTAGGTTAATTAACTAGTATTATTTAATTAAACTTAACTTTATAAAGAAGATTAATATTATTATATCCAAATTGACAATTTTTTTTTAAATAATCTTAATTTTTTGATTCACTGTTAAGTTAAAATTTTTAACTGCATGTTTTTTTTAAGTTGATATTTTTTTGTAATGATTAATCTTTATATTTAAATGACGTATGCGCTTACAAGCTAGGTACACAAACACATAATATATTATTATTATATTATATATTATATCATGAGAGAACGCTGCTGCAGCTCTGTGTGAGGCCAAAATTCTCCAATCAATGTCGACTACAGTTGGCCAACGCGCACACGTTGTCGTCCGTTTGATATTAAATAAAAAAGAAACGGTGCCGAAATCCATTTTGTTTGAGCATGTAGAATTCGGCGTATAGAAATAATTATAATAAAACAGCGAGGTCTACTGAAAAATAAAATCGGATACGGACTTTGTAGCGAATCGGCTTTTTTGACAGTGCCACCGAGACAAGGGTATACTGTGCGTTCAATACATGCTTACTGCTATGACCTACGCAAATGGCCAATACAATATTATTGTATCTATTATGTGGAATTTCGAAACAGATTTCCACACGGAATATTCCCGTGTGTGTACTTAATACAATAATTTAATAATGTATGATATGATTATATCGACATCGGCGAACGAAAGGACTCGGCTTGAGTGAAAGCACGTGCTTACCAAAGATTCTGGTTTTTATGTGTATAAGCAAAAAAAAAATACATCCGCAAATATTTTACCTTAAGTTGTACATACAGGTTTTCGACGGTAGAATAAAATACTTCTTGTCAATGAGCAAAATCGTTGTAGCCGAGAACGACGTCGTCGATTAGTGGGCATCAGTAACGCAATAATATTGTTGACCTCACCTAGCGTACGCATCTAACAGCTGATGTAATTTCATGGTAATAGCGCACAAGAGCGAAAAAAAGCAATTTCCTTAACCACGTGGTTGCATTACCTAATTAAAGCTAACTCTGGCCAGATTGTCGCTCAAAAATTGGTTTATTACAAAAATTATTTTTTGTTATAATTATATATATATACATATACATATATATTTTATTGTTTTTAATAGAAAGAAATCATATAATAAAATAAATGTCGATTACGAAACGGAAAACACGTTTGGCCTCTAAAATGTTTGTTCCACCTAGTTAACTTCCTGAAATCGGTTACCAGAACTGGGCGCGTGATACTAATTATTCGACCGCTGTCGACTGTATAAACAATAACCATAGAACACCGCCTATTTAAATTTGAACACGGTAATATAACCTTTTCAAAAAAAATGTATATATTCATGTTGTCATACGGTTACGCTTAAGCATATTTTCGCTTTTTTTTTCATAAGATATAATTTTATTTCGGATTGATTTGGCATTGCCGCTTGTAGTCTTATGAGCTAACAAGCTACTGCAGTATATTATAATAACAATGCCCAACTATTATGTCGGTCCATCACGCGAGAACGGCCGCCGGTCTTTGTTTATTTCATAATTTCACAACGTCCATTTCTCAAAAAAAAAAAAAATGGTTAACAATAACTAATTTTTGTTATTATTTGTATGTCATCCACTTCGCTGGTCAAACGTTTAATCAGTTGACTCGGTGTCCCCTCAATCCGTTTGAAAGTATCTGTACTCGAAGCGAACTGAGATTAAAGTTGTTTTTTACTGTAACCCTATAATCGTGTTTTCAATAAAATCGTTATTGAAATTTCATTTTTTACACTGTAAGATTCGACCAAGGAGTAATTTTTGATCGACGATACAATATTATAACCGTAAACGGCATACACTACGATTCGCTAATCCTGTACTCGAGTCATTGATCGTTGTTATATTAATGTAATTTTTTTTAAATCTATTTTTATACCTGCCATCTGCAACTGTCGAGTTCACAGCATACTATTACTATTGCTGGAGGTTATGCAATGGCTCGCGACCAGTTTGAATTTCTTCTTTAATATTTTCGTCGATTTGCTTGGGTTCAAACACTGTGTTGACATGGTCGGTTCTTTTTATCTGTAGTCCAGCACGACACAATTCAACGTGTCGCCTTTAAGTTCCGCCACCGAGATAATATTATAATGCCATAATAATAATATCATTAGCTCGGGGGCTTAATTGAATATCTTTTGTGTTGGAGATTTCACCGTCAAGTCATGACGGCGACGGTCATTCAAAAAAGCCAATACTATAGAGTACCGCTTTGCATAATACTGTCTGGACGATGGTCCCTTTGACTTTCTCCTCAAGTGCATTCTTTGACCGGGTGTACTTATAACGTGGCGACGACCGTGACACACACTCGACTGGTCTTCCAAAATTGTGTGCATGATTATAACTATGTACTAATAAATTTTGTATATTAATTAAACCAATCCATGTTTTTGAAGGAGAAAAATCGAACGCCTCCAAGGACGCCTTGTCGCGTCACGCCGCCGCTTCTGTTTATTTCGTTCAATCCCAAAATAAATAAAGCCTGACCGACCAATATCTATGGTATTTTACATTTTCAATAAGCAGATCCAATATGTAAAGATTGAACATTAGTCCGTTTCCGTGTAATGACAAATATTAAATAATAATGATATAACACACAACCGCTATATTATGCTAATGATAGTCGGAGGTGTAAACGACTCCATTACCGGCGACACACTCTTCGGTTCTTATCGGTCTATAATGGCCACATAAACCGTATAGTTTTTGTATAGAAAATATACTATTATTTTATTTTTTACAAATAAACTCGTAGAACCGTTACGTAAATCACCCACAAACAACTATAATATAATGTGCCTGTGTAATACGCTATATTTTTTATCGCCATAAGCTGTGCTTCTTAGCACAAAACAACACCGTAATGATTTTTTATTTGTTTGATGGTTTCTATTATTTTATAGAAATTCGAATTGCCAGATTAAGTGAAATCGCAGGTTGCAAATAAAATATGTTTGAAATTCTCGGCCATTATGATTATTAAACATATATATATTTCTTCATATATGTAGTTCTGTATTATTACAAATTATATTTTATCTCTTTGAACAGTATACAACCCTGAGGCGAATAGTATCAAATAAAATTTCGACATTTCCCGAACCCGTACCGCGAGAGAGCCATGTCATCTTGAATCTTGTGCGACAACAACTGGTTCTCATGCCTGGCCGTTACTGTCAAACCAAAGTATAAAGAGATATGTTGTAAACCCGAAACGGTCGCGCTAAAACCAAACAAATTAATGATTTATAGCTAAAAAACAAATGAAGACGAACAATATTTAGGTTATGACTTATAGCAACGACGTGTTAGAGCCTAGAGGACTTCATGGAAAATCGTTTACACTCAAATATCCAAGACGGAGTTGTGTGGACATTCTGTTTATATACTTACAAGTTGATATTTGCGTTCGCTTGTAAATTTATTATCATTATTGTGCAGTTATTACATTAATAGCGCATAAATAATTGTTGGGAAATAGTTGTAACGTGATAGAAACGCGCTGTGACATTGCTCCATGCAAATCTATACCACGAGGTTTTGTGTGTCAATGTTATGCTATATTCAAGAGCACCGTAACCATTTCACGCGTGCCGGCTTGTTTTACTATAATTATTACATACTTTTATTTTTTTTTACAAAATAAGTAGCTTGGTACATCATCCAGCATGGTTCGTGCGCCAGTGAAGTTCCAGCGAAGTGTAGATTTGATTATTTTTTTAACTGACCGAGACGTTGTTTTATACACTGGCAATGCAATTGAAACGCTGATGTAACTGCGACATAATCCACTTTAATTGGCACGATTATACTCGCTTGTTGTTTATTTCAGAATCACTCTGTTTAAAGGAACATAGATTATTACATTATATAAAAGTATAACATGTAATATCATACCGAGTGAGATCAATTTAAGTTTTAACGCATACACTCATTTTCTGGGAAAACAAAATTACAGTTTTCTCATTTTTTTTTTATTGAAAACATTTTAGTTTATCTTATTTTACAATGAATTATAGAGTCTTTATTGTTTTTAATCTAAATAACAAATATTTGATTTTTTAATACATTTAAACATATTTTACGATTATCATGTTTTTATTTCAAGTAAAACTAAAAATTGTATACACATCCTCTATATGTTTACAATTACCGTAACTTATTCAGAAGAGAACCAAAATGTATACATTTTTTTACATTGTAAATATTTAATACCAAAAATATTTTGTTTTACCTACTAAAAGATAAACAAAAACCAAAAATATAATTGTGAGTAAATTACTGTCTGTGTGAAGTTGATCATTCTGTATATAACATAGTTAATACGTTTTTAATATAATTTATCTAAATATTAATTGATGTAATAGGTACATTATAATTTACACTGTTGCGTAAAAATGTATAGTTGTATTCATTAACTGAATGTATATAATTCGGTTACTTTAGGTAAAAAAATATTTTAATTAGCATATAATATGTCAGGTGGCACGTGATACAAAGAACTTGACCCCTAACGATTTGACGTGTAAAAAATTGTTTTTTAATGGAATGCGAACACTTCGAAAACTCGTTCGAATTAAGAAATCCGGGAGACCTCGGCCGGTTGTATAGTTTGTGGCAAGGAATAAAATAATTATTCCAGGGACAACGGATTCATACGAATAGTGCCCGTATAGTGCACAATTTTGTCATGTGTGTCGATAATTATGGCGTCATTGAATTCAAGATTAAAAACCTCTTTTTTTTCACTCCAATTGATCTGTGCAACTGTCTTTTGCCGGCAAAACGTCGACAAATAATTTTTTATTGTCCACACCGTTATAATACGCAAACCTGTAGACTATTGACCGTCTTGGCTTGCGACATTGTCTCGCTTAACGAAAACTCGATCACTAAGTATAACTCTGACTTAATTTTTTTTCACGTGAGTGGTCCGAGACTGCGTAGCGCACAAAGATTTTCTGTTCGATATGTGTGTGTGTGTGCAATAAAAAAAATACAAATGTGAAAGTCTTCCGGTATCTATACATATATACTAATAAGAATATACGATCGTGGAAGATCAAAAATACAGCAGAAAGGAAACGCGGCACAATCAACACTGTTTACTACCTGTCGCAACAAAATAAATGACATTTTAATTGTAACCGCTAACAATTCTCTACAAGTTAATACTAAATACCAACGGTCAATAATCCCCAGACTACCGTTTTGCAAAATAACAATATTTGTTCACCTATACATATATTACAACTGGCTTGCATCACGAATATGTAATGACAAAACCAAACGACAATAATAATAATATATTATATTGTTTTCATGGACTTACTAGCAACGGCCAGACACGCAGGACTTTTAATTAATAGTATGTGGGAGCTATGCATAGTTGTACGTTTGCTTGTAGTTTCTTGTATGCGTTCAACGCATAAACAATATAGGTACAGCAAATGCTGCCGTCGGGCCACGCCTTAAAAAAATGTTTTTTTAATAAAAAAAATATTAAAAATGTGATTGTAATATATAGTATGTTTCTATTATTTTATTCGCGCGGTCGTGTTCGCAGGATTCCCATAGACATTTCGCACAACATAATCCGGATTAAGGATAGTATTAGCGCCTGGTGGTTTAATTTGCTTTAAACCGCCTTAGAAGCAAATTACTAGACTGCGACTCGAGTTGTACAAATGAAAGGGGCGGGGGAAAACAATGTACTGCTTTAAAATTGGGGGAGCGCCAATTTTATAATTATGATATAGAAGGTGGGTTAGGAGAATGTTATGATGGAGAAGTGGCAAAAAGTGGTTGCCCTAGAGTTCTTAAAATGGTTAACACGGCATAGGATAGAACCCAGGATGTCAAGTCTAAGTGCCGTTTTGGTCAATTTCTTTAAGAAATTCCTTCAGGCCACTCATCAATTTCATGGCTTAGCTACCTAACATTTTAACGCGTGCAAATCCCGCCATTGCGTAAAACCTGATAAGCCGGTAACTGTTTTATTGAAGAGCGGCAGCCATAATTATTGACATATTATTAGTACGACTTGGTGGTAGGACAAATAAGTGAGCGAAGCCAGTAGGTAAATAGCTTATGGAAAACGTGGCCGCGACACAGTTCTATAGAAACAAATATATACTACTGTGTCATATACTCGCGGTCAAACGTGAATATTATTAAAAATAATAACATACATTTTAACTAAGATTTTTTTTTTATTCTGTCCAATAGATATTGATTGTCTTGTGCGTCGCCTTTTGCCACTTGCTGTTGGCTTCGGCCCAATTCGACGGTCTTGAAGATAATTTCTTCTTGAGAGCCGAAGATCCACCACAACCCCCTAGAGACCCCAGGGAAAACAGAGGTGAGATAACTAGTATAATGATATTATAAGTTATAATCAGTTATGCATGCGAAATATGGATTTATTAGGACTTTGTTAGTTATAGTATAATATAACTTTACAATATGATATTAAATTGATATGGATATGACATTATATTTTATGATATCATATTGATATTTTATGGTCATGCTTAACACTTGGCGTGTTTCCATGTTCTAGGACCAGTGGTGTTTCCGGCCACTCAACCAGGTGGTGGATCCAGCGGTGTCATAGTAGGAGCTTCAGGTTTCGGATTCGTACCACCCGGCGGCAACAAAAGTAAGCGCATATTATACTGAATACTTATATTCATCAATTGTATTATTAATCGTTAACTAGTACGTTCTTACGATATGGCGTAATGGGAAGTAAATGGAAAAATAATGACCATTTTTGCCGTCTCGAACTGTCCTAAACAAACGATTAGCGACATTTTCTGGAATATTAACGGAATTCCATTATATTGCCCATCCAACTGGTCAATAAACCACGTGTCAATGCTTTTACTTTTTATTATTGTCTAAGAAACCACTCGCGAAACCCTTTGGGTTAACGGTCGACAGCAAAACGCATATTTGGAATAACTCAAGTGCGTCATCGCTGGTCGGCTGGTTGCTTATGACCAACACAATTCGAGGGACATAACACGCTGCCCGTTTAATTATTATTATCGTCTATGAGTATCATCGAATTGTTAAGATAGTTCGTTCAAGATTTCCGGGTCGTCCGCCTTGGTAATTAAATACACGAGAGGAATGTTGCTTGAAGTCGAGAAGGAAAACCCTTTTTGAATACCATGGGGGAGGAGGGGACGATTCCGAGGTTAATTTGGACCGGATACTCAAAGGGACTGAGCAATACGAGTCCGACCGCAGCTGCCAATAAGTCTTGCGCCATTGAATAATAAGGCATTTCGAACCGCCACAATTCACTTCACCAACTCGTATTATTATAATATACAACACTATACACCTTCATCGCCCTCTCCCCAGGGTGTGTGTGTGTGTATACCGTTGAGTCCGTTTTCCCTTTGTGTGTCTGTCCGGTAGGACACAAGATGCTGCTAATGAAGACGCACACCGATGATAATAAGGGCCCGGTCGCGGGTCCGGATATAAACGTCCGGGTTACTAATGCTAGAGCGCACTCGAGAGTAGTTCAAAGCGATGTAATAATAATAATATATTATATATTACCCGGTAAACTGCCAGACCTCCACGCAGTAATCACGTTCCATGTCCCCTTAGGGTTAGAGTGTACTTTGTCTCTCTAGTGATGTCTATAATAATGCTACGCGATAAAATATTTTCATAGTTTGTAGTATACGATTATATTATGACGCCTTATGAAAGTTGGAAAACGTCTCACCAGAAACGGATGTATTATTTGTTTAATTTGTTTACAGGGCCCCGTCCACAAAGCATCTTCACATTTTGGTAAACCCCACCTCTCAAAAAAAAAAAGAACCCTTCGACGGATTGATCGTAACACAAGTAGCTTTGATTGTCCTAAGCATTTTGGCGGCAACACGGATAGCAGCAGCAGTACACACGATCATTCAATTGTAATGAATAATAAGATCTCGAAAAACAAAACCGTCGTTAAGTACTAAAAACACATATCGTGTAATACCTAACTACAATATCATAGCGTCACCTGTAAATTATTAGGTATACCAAGTTAATATAGCACCAATGTAACGTGACGTAGAATATAAAATTACAAATAATATATTATCTTTCACAAACAGGTCCAAATAGCATATTTTATTTCTATAAAGCAATAATGATTGTGCGCATTATTTATGCATTTAATATGCAATTTTCATTTTTGTTTTTATGTACAATCTCGAATTTTAATATTCTTAATTTATTATATAAATATTTGTACATATTATAGTAAACAACCATACAAGTCCTTCATTATTTATTTTATAGTAAAATAATTATTTTAGATTAATATTAGCACTTAAGTAATATAACTATTGTAATTATTTTTAAAACTTGTGGTTACCAAGTATACCTAACTAGTAATAGTATTACCTACGAACTTGATGTATGCATACAACAAGAACAAAACGAATTTTGTTAATTATAATGTTAGGAACGTTAATGTTAAAATAAAGTTAACTATTACATTACTTATATATTTTAACAGTGTTAGATTATCATAACTTGTGCCCTTTTTCCTTTTAATAATACCTAATAGTTAGTAATTACATGGTAGTTAGATTTCAACGATGATTAGACATGAAGCCGAGCCAGACAACAGTGATAATGTTATATGAACTTAATACTCGTAATAACTTTGTTTTAATGCATGCCAATTAGTAAAAGTATACGATTTTCTATAACTCACGCGTTCCTTTACACTTATAATGTCAATACCTTTTAGATTGTATCGTTTAACATACATGATTTTATTCGGTAACATAAAAAATACTATAAAATCAACAACTTATCACAATGTCATATGTTATATTATGACATACATATTTTAAACATGCTTTATTAGCACATATTATTACATGTAATACGGAAGTCGCGTGTTAAGTAAAAAAACATTTACACAGACACATTAAATATATGTAGCAATATTCTTTTAATTGAAACATGTTATTACTCTTAGTTGTAGATATTTAGTAGGAATTAAAATCTGTTATAGCTATAAAACTGCTTTAAAATCTTTAATGGAACGAAATAAAATAATTAAAACATAACTTATTATGAAATAATATAACGTTAAACGAGTCCGTCAAAAATAATTATACTTTACGAAATTCCGTCATTTCATCAGAATTTATATCTGAGTATTTGCTTCGAGCATAGAGAAAATAATAATTTAGACAAATTTAAAAACGAAAGTTTCAGATGTAATTATAATCACCAACAAGTAAAACAATATTTAAACTTTAACGAGATTTATACGGGCTGCGCAAAAAAAATTGTATTTATTGATTTAATAAAATAATAATCGATCATTCACACACCAATATTTTATAAAATAAAGTCTATTGACCATTCTCACTAGTTGTGCTTAATAACTAAATATGTTTTTTTTACCTACTATAAACATTACTGGAATTTTAGGCAAAACTATAATTCAAATAATTTGTAAACAAACTACTAAGAGCCGCCTAAATTTCCATCAGTTTAACCGATTTTGATATATATGCATAAATGATGTGTATCTATGTATAATTATTATATATAATATATTCCACCGTTAGTCGCGCAAATGTAGGTATCTAGTCAAAAATGCGGTTCAGTTGTCCAGTCATCAGTTGTCATTTTGTCTGTACACAAATTGAATATGTTTACAACTTCTCTCACTTTCTATAAAGAGGTTTTTACGGGACGCTCTACCCTTTTATTTGTTAAAAGTAATAATGTATAAATACATTTTTAATGAACGTTTATGCAAATAAATAAGATATATTTTATTGACTACATAATACATTGCTGTAACAAAATATATTATGACGATGAACATTCATAAATGTACCTATGTATTATATTTGAAAAGCTAAAAATTAAATTCAAATTAGTTTCACTATAGAACCTAATGTTTTCTTTAAAATCTTAGACCTTAGGTTAAATAATTTTTAAAATAATTATTGATTGCAATATTTATTTATATCCACATGCGATTATTAATTTTATGGTTGTAATAATACTACAAAAGCAATACTTAAGACTTAACTTAACGATATATAATTTAAAATATTTACTTATCATTATTAAATCCATTAAATAATTAATTATATCTTATTGTATAACAGTGTATTTTATTAAATTATTAGAGTCATGAGGAGCTAATAATATAGTAAAAAAAAAGAATGTAAGTAAGCATAGTAATCTCGATGTGCAGCCAACCAAATTGTCCGTAATAAAGGAATTTTTGATCCGTCTATATACAAATTCGTAGAACTGTTATATTATTGTCGCGTTTGCCCATACAATATAATATGTAACAGCTTTTTTTGCATTTAATCATTTTCTCTTTTTTCCTAGTTAAACCTGTAGTAATTTATTATTTGTAATGAGATTCTCATTTATCGATCGTCCTTCTGAGAAATCTATGTGACAAAACTGGTTTGTATACTCTCGATGCACACTGCACATGGTAAAATATTTAACATTATAATAAATTTAAGTTGTTTTAAGCATGTTGAATGCTGTCTAACAAAACATCTCTTGACCGTTTACCAGATAAGCTTCAGCTGCATTATAGAAGTCTGGGTGATATCAAAACTAAATACTAATAAAAATAATCTTAATTACAGTAATAAATAAAAATAAACAAAATGGTTGTAATACTTAAAAAGAAGGTTTAGCGAAGAAGTTTATTTCTAAATTTCTGATTTAATAAGTAAGGACATTCATTTTAAACACAAATATTTATAAAGATATTATACATAAAGGATTATCTTTTTTAGAAATAAACATTTGAAATCTGTAATTGTATAGTGTCACTAATTGATAAAACAATCTCTGTAGACCGTGCTTGTACCTTATTAAGAAATTCGTTTTAGTTTTCCAATATATCATAAACATTTTCGAAACATTTCCTTGAAAGATTTTCAATTTATATACTCCATGCATTTTTAACAGCCTAGTATAACTCTACTGATCTGCAGTAAAAAAAAAAACCGGTCGGAGTCGAACCGGCGACAGTGAGCGGTTCAAAAGCGCTAACACACTGCCGCCTTACCTACTCGGCTACTCCTCCTAAAATACTAGTATACTATGATAAATAATTACTACAAATACGACAAATAACTTAACTTAGCATGACATGTATCATCTATTAAATACCTTTATAAAATAAATATTGGCACTGTACTAAAAACAATAGCCACCGATCAATTCAATTACACATCTTTTAATTCTTGTCAACCGTTTTTTTCGCAGTAAAATTATCTTTACGTTTTCAGTATAACTCTAGTTTGAAATATATTTTTTTATTAAAATATAACATTATCTTTAAATTATAATACATAAAAACAGTTCAGACGCAAAAAATCTACAGCTTTGCTCTTGTGACGCGCAAGCCTTATGTTCCATAAATAATCATATCTAATCCCCAGAGAAGAGTTGTGGTAGCGACGACAGTCAGGCATTCGACAGGCTTACGTGGCAGAATTTCTATTTGTTACACGAAATATGTTTTTGGCGAAAAAAGCAACGACTGCTAGAGAAGACAACTTCGTAATCCGACAAAAAGGTAGACCACGCGTTTTCGATGGTGAAAATGAATAAAAAGATGCATTATAACATCTTCTATTCAACACGAGACGGCTCAAGAGTTAAGACCCACTTTTATCGACTTTGGGGAGCCTGTTCGGCGATATGATATGTACATATATATATCCCTATACATATATATATATACCTACAGATATATACCTATATATTCATATAATATTGAAAACTACAAACCAAAGCGCTTTTTAGTTTTTAAAAATCCTCAAAACTTGTGGGGATATGATAAATACTAAGAAGGCAAATATTCTATATTGTATTACTTGTGTAAGACGCATATAGCCCTGTTTCTCTATTACCCGAGTACTTTATTATATATATAAACGTATTATAATATAATGACAAACTACTATTAATTAATAAGAAAACAGTAACAGTTAACAAAATCAAATATTAAAAACCTCTAAACTTACATTTACAAGTTAAATTTAATATTTACTACTAAACCAGTGCTTACTTGGTTAAATTTTGTGTCAATAATAAAAACTTACTTATGAAAATTATTACATTTTTAAGTTTATTACATTTTTATAATTATGTCGGTTACTACTGGTGCAATATGTATATAAATATAGCAAATTGCACAAGGCTTGTATTTTAAAGTGGATAACACTTTAATAATTAATAGTTAAACGTTAAGCCATAAAAAAACATTAATATAGAAAACATATTGAGAAAAAAGTTATTAATACGATTAATTGCTAGCTTACAAACAATTGAGTACAATTTAATTTAGCAGATAGGTTTTGCCCTTAATGAGCCTTTACATCAGTTGCAATGGTGTAACTTGTATTAGTAATATACTAATGTCAAATCAAACATAGCTTATTTTTAAGAAACTAAAGAGTTGGTCGTATAATTGTTATTTAAAGTCATGGGTCCTATTGGGCAGTAAACAAAGCGCACTTCAATTTGTTTTGAATATCAATAGGTAAATAGCGCATGAGAAACTAATAAAGTGATGTATAATAGAATGTTGTATAATATAGTGTTGTAAAATAGAATTTAAAATCCTTTTCACAAAAAAAGTTGTTTTATTGGCACAATCGACAATTTATGAAATTAGTAACATTATTCTAGTTATAAGCAATTATCTAAAAAAACATTAAATCTATTAAAAAACGTTTGTGTAGTTTTTCAAGTTTCAATTAGAAATTTAGTAAGAACTAACAACACCACTTTAATTACATTTTTTTTGTATGTGTAGGTACTTGGAATATTTTTAATATGTGATTTTTATCTGATTGATGATAAAACTGATGATTTTTTACTGACTTAATTGCCTGACTCACTGTATTCCTTTAAGATATATTATTTTATAAGCTATTTGTCGGCTTAGTGATTTTTTTATTCTTCTTGAAAACACTGGAAAAAAAAAATAACTGAAGAAAGTTAATTAATTGAATGCCGTCACTGGTTGACTGGCATTTGTATGTAAAATGTTCTTTCAATTAAAGATTATTCTGTTCTTGTTCATTATTTATTTGATTTTATTAGCAGCAAATAAGTCGAAGCCACCCCTTTAAAAAGAACATCGGCGATGTAAGAAGAACTTATATAAGATAACTTATAAGCACACCCATGACTTCAGAATAGTCGTGTGTACTCAATTAATGCACCGAGAAGTTTTCTCATTTGTCTTTTAATCTGTTTAAAGAGCAAATACCAATAACTTATGCTCTTTCCGGGTTGATAGCTCGCAACCGTTAAGCTGTTCTTCAACACACATCAAGGTAAAACGATTTCAAATATTATGAAAGTTTCGTCACAAGTAGATTCATTTTTTGTACACTCGTCTCCACCTATAAATTCCTAACCGTAGATTTTATATATTCATATACAACGGTATACATATATAATGTTTAGCTATATTCAAATAA